GCCATTCTGCGGGCCGAGCTGCCATGTGAGCCCACAAGGACGCCTCGATCGCTCCTCGCTTCTCTCTCCCTCCCTCGCCCCTCCTCCCTCCGCTCTCTGCACTCTACTTACCATCTGACACCCCGACCCCCCTCCTTCCCTCCTCTCTGCATTTCACTTAGCCAACTCGATTCCGCTCCGCTCCCTCCCTCCTTCCGTTCCCTCTCTCACTCACTCACTACCACCTCGACCCCCTCCCTCCCTCCCTCCCTCCCTCCCTCCCTTCTTCCCTCCACCACATTCTCCCCCTCCTCTACCTCCTCCCTCCTCTACCTCCTCCCCCTTCTTCCCATTCTCCTTTTCTACCACCTCCTCCCCCTTCTTCTCCACCAGCTTCTCCCCCTCCTCTACTTCCTCCACATTCTCCCACTCTCCTCTACCTTCTCCACCTTCTCCCACCATCCTCTACATCCTCCTTTTCTACCTTCTTCCCCTCCTCTACCTCCTCTCTCCCCTATCTCCCCACTCCTCGTCCTCCTCCACCACATTCTCCCCCTCCTCTACCTACTCCCTCTTCTACCTTCTCCCTCTCCTCTACCTCCTCCACCTTCTCCCACCATCCTCGACCTCCTCCCTCTTCTACCTTCTCCCCCTCTACTACCTCCTCTTTCCCCTATCTCCCAACTCCCTCTCCCCTCCACCACATTCTCCCCCTCTACCTCCTCCCTCCTCTACCTCCTCCCCCACCACCTTCTACCCTCCTCCTCCCCCTCTTTCTCCACCACTTTCTCTCCCTCCTCTACCTCCTCCGTCTTCTTCCACCATCCTCTACCTACTCCCTCTTCTACATTCTCCCTCTCCTTCTTCTCTACTTCCTCCACTTTCTCCCACCATCCTCGACCTCCTCCCTCTTCTACCTTTTCCCCCTCCACTACCTCCTCTCTCCCCTATCTCCCAACTCCTCCTCCCCTCCACCACATTTCCCCCCTCTACCTCCTCCCTCTTCTACCTCCTCCCCCACCACCTTCTACCCTCCTCCTCCTTCACCTTCTCCACCATTTTCTCTCCCTCCTCTACCTCCTCCGTCTTCTCCCACCATCCTCTACCTACTCCCTCTTCTACCTTCTCCCCCTCCACTACCTCCTCTCTCCCCTATCTGTCAACTCCCCCTCCCTTCCACCACATTCTCCCCCTCTACCTCCTCCCTCCTCTACCTCCTCCCCTCCTCCCCTCCTCCCTCACCACCTTCTACCCTCCTCCTCGACCACTTTCTACCCTCTTCCTCGACCTCCTTCCTGTACCTCTTTTCTACCTCCTTCATGTCCCCCTTTTCTACCTCCTCCCCTTCTCCTCCTCCACTACCTTTTCCCTCGTCCTCTACCTCTTCTACCCCCACCCCTTCTCCCCTCTTCCTCCCCCACTACCTTTTCTCTCGTCCTCTACTTTCTCTTCTTCCTCCTGTACCACCTTCTCCCCTCCTTATATACCTCGTCCCTCTTTCTCTATTTCGATCCGTGAATCGAAGCATTCGATCCGTGAATGTTATATGTGATCAAATCAACCATAAAACAAAAAATCGAATTATGAAACAAAATACATGCCATACAGTTAGTACGTGCGTGTACGTGCTTGTGGGGTTGTGCGCATGGGACCGGGGATGTAATGCGCGTTTGTACGCGTGCACGTGCGCCTCTGCGTGTATAGCTAGTCGTGTCGTGAAAATTTTTAGGAACTGTGCGGTACTCTCCTGTATTGATTCTAAAAAATTAAGAATATTATTCATACTTGATAAGAATGAATATGATAATGTTTGATAAGATATTACATGGGTTATATGTTATATATATATCAGGAGTAATTAATAGGGTAGATAATAGGAGTAGATAGTAGGTTCCTTATTATCTACTCCTGATATATATATATATATTATTTGTGAGCTCCTAATTAGTCCAACGATTAATTAATACTCTATAGGCTCTACTTGATGTAGGCCTATATACTAGTTGATCGATCATGCAGCTACTAAGAATGATTTTTTATCCGGAGCTTTAAAAGTAGGCTTGAACCGATATATACGGTATCCGGCAGCGCAGTATGCGTGTTGACAGATGGAAAGTTGACCTATGACCGGAATAATAAATCAAATATTTGCTACCCATGCATCATGCAGGCGATAAACGGGAATACGCCGACAATCGTGCGTGGCGCACTCACCATGCTACACAACTCGATTTTTATACGTTTGTGCATGTCAAACAATCGCGTCTCCTATCCAATATGCCAATCGGAGATAGCAAACTTCCGCCACAGCGTAACAGTACCTTCCTCCCCCCCCCCTCCAATCTTGCTGGTACACCGAATATAGAGTTTGATTAATTTTTTTTTAATATATATTTTTTAAATCTAATTTGTAGTCGGGTTTAACATCATAAACCCCTAGACACACCAGGCGAATACAGTAGACATAAAGTCACGGGCTAGTCGCAAGAGAGTAAACCGTTATATACACTACCTACCATCAATGATGAAAAAGCAAAAAAAAAAATCCTGGATCCAGATCTGAATCCGGATCACCACCAAAATGTAATCGATTGATTCTTGGCCCAAGACCAACCCGTCCAAAAAATTTCATAAAAATCCGTCCGTAACTTTTTGAGATATCCTGTTGAGAGACAAACAAACCAACAAACCAACAAACAAACTAACAGGGGCGAAAACATCCTTGGCGGAGGTAATGATATATATCACATGGGGCGTGGTGAGGCGTAGGCCGGGGATTAGCTTCAGCTTTGTAATACGCTCGTTCATACTTCAGCAGCCTCCTGTGGTGGAAGCGAAGGGGCTACACGGGTAGATGTTGTCTATACAATGCTACGGCTATAGCGAGTATGTAAATCTAGAGTTGGGGCTGATGCTTATCTAAACCAATTCGATAACTAACAACCGAAACCTTAACGGTAACACCGCTAACCTTAGCACTCCCATCCTTATGACTAACGCTAAGCAATATATGCAATTGAATTGGGGGGGGGGCAGGTAATTGCGCCTGAACCGGATTTCGGATATATAAATGCAGTCATGCAGCTACAAGTAGGTATACAGTCTAATGTGATGCGACACAGCATAAATCATTACCGATTGTTCGCCACAGTCATCGTTCCCCCAGGCGCCCACGAAGTCTCTCTGCTGGTATATAGCAGAAAGACCATGTTCGACGAAGCGGTTTTCAACACGCGTGTATAGAAGATACCCACAGTTAGGTATACTACTAGCCGGCACACGACACGAGTTGTCGGAGCGTACGAGTTCTCGGTAGATTTTTTCAGGAACACGTGATAAACTGTTCATTATAAGCATTCATGACTTTATTAGATTTACATCTATTAATAGATTTACATCTATTTCATTAGATAGATCATAAATTAGATCTATCATCTCAGATAGATCTATAGATCATCATGATAGATCTAGATAGGTTAGGTCTATCTTTTCATTAGATAGATCATAGATTTACATCTATTCACTTCTCTCGCCTTTCCCCCTGGCGGGCGTCTTGCAGGAAGTGAAGACGGAGAAATGTGGTGCTTGTGGGAAGTCGGTCTACGCTGCTGAGAGGGTGGCTGCCGGTAAGGAGGTGTTCCACAAGACCTGTCTACGATGCTCCGTGTGCAAAATGACGCTGCAGTAAGTGTCCGTAGCGTGCGACGTGTTGATTAAATTAATCGCTCGCTATATTTAAATTAATCGTGAATCCTATTTCGTCGCGTGCGAGCCTAAAGCCTAGCGCAGACCTGCAATTTTTTCATACAACTTGACAGCAATTCTAGAATCGCTGTAAAAATTGCTGTGAAATCGCTACGTCTGCGGGAATGTGCAACTGTAACCCGTAACGCCCCAGCTGCTGGTCGCTTGCAAAATCAGACTTGTTTGATTTTGAACGACTCATCGCTACCAATCGCTCCCAAATTGCTCTAGAATTGCTTCGAAATCGCATGTGTGCACATATCGACCGATCGCTTGCGGTTGCAGGTTGCAGCGACGAGCAACCAAAAATTTCAGGTCGGCGCTAGGCATGCTAGGCAATATCACACTGCAGCTTTCTTCCTCCGGCATAATAGCAATTCTCACCGACAGATGTCGCGCGAATAGGACGATGACCGTCTGGCGTGATCTCTCTTAATTGTCGCGTAACCCAAATATGGAAGCTACACTCGCAGTTACTCGAGTGACAGCGTCACTGTTCACACTTCGTGAAAATATGTTATGATTTTTCTTTGTTATTGGAAGGACATTAAAATGTCCTTTCTGCTGACATGTGAAGGGTAGCTGCGTGCCCAGTATAGCACGGGTCTTGTTTTTATTTCTACTAATTTCTATCAAACCAATTTCAGGTTAAGCACCTACCACCAGAATGACGGCAAGCTATATTGCAAAACAGATTTTGCTAAGCACGTGACTGCGAAAAACACGCAAGCGGCGGTTGTGTAGAAGAAAGAAGCAATTAACCTGGAAACCGGACTATAATGGATACTCATGCGCATGCACTAATCAATCAAATACCGTTTACGAGCACGGATTAAAATATCTCATTTCTATTATTTTGCTTACTATTTGCTTGCTACTCTCGCAATCGAATATATATACGGCATGCAGCATCAAGTTGTACTATTCATCCGTTCCCAGGTGCCACCATGCAGTTATATATTGGTACAGGCCACTAGCTGCTCTACATAAACGATTATATATGAATTATACATATTATATTACAATTTACATATATATAGATCTGTGGTATAGGCCCTCGTGGCCACCCACCAGAGTCACAGCACCTGTTGTACTGGCGCAGTAATACATCGAATAAGAGAATTGTAACGTCTTCGATATGTTTCCCTGCTGACTCCACTCCAGGGCTTTGATGAGAACGTCGGCACCTATATGAGTTAATTTACAGCACTGTCGTTTGTAAAACAAAGCTAATGTATACACATATATGTGCATGCGTGAACACATGCTGGTGTTATATACCGTTTAATAATTCCGTATTCTTCAAATTCCTACCAGATTGCTGTCAATTACTACTATTGTAAACAGTATACTATTGTACTATTATACTATTGTAAACAGTATAACAGATGGGGGCCCGGTATTTCTTCACAATAGAAGGAGTGTAGTTAGAACAGCGATGCTGTGTTTACCATATTCTATGGACTGCATGCCTTGAGAATACTTGGTCTGTTCTACATTATGAAGTAAGAGAGAGAGAGAGAGAGAGAGAGAGAGAGAGAGAGAGAGAGAGAGAGAGAGAGAGAGAGAGAGAGAGAGAGAGAGAGAGAGAGAGAGAAAGAGAGAGAAAGAGCAAGGAGAGCGGGGTGGAGAATGCGTTCTAAACCATATACACGATTAATTAGTAATTACTGTAAACGTATTTGCACAATTTACGCGTAAGGTGCGACATGATTAAGGCGCTATTGTCATCTATTTCGCGACACTATATATCTCATTATTATTTTGTCGGGAATGGGGGAACGTGTAGGAGCATATTATACCTGTTTAGTCACAGCACGTCTGTGACAGTAAGATATTGCGGTTGTCACAAACAAAGGCGCTAGTTGAGGTGGACGCGGGCATTTTGGAGCGCCCGGAGTACGGATGTGTAGAGTCATTTTCCACGTAAGGGCACACACTCTATGTGTGTCGTACGCGCCGTGAAAGCATCGAAGCGCAACATAACAGAAAGTGCACAAGAAAAGGAGACGATAATTGTGGAGATAATCGCTCACGGGGATGCTTTGTGCGCACGCACTCACGCGCATCTGTTGACAGACACGCGAGGAACAGAGCTGCCTGCGCCACGTAGCGGTCGCGACACACAGTATTATAATTTCAGCTCTTAGATTTAAGGGGGACAAAATCCGGGCGATGCGTGATCGAAACTGGACTCGAATATCGGCACAGAAATCGACTACAAGTATTCAACAAGCTGGAGTAGTGAATCCAAACTTGCAAACGCGCGAGTGAGTGAGTGCATGGGTGGATGGCTAGGTGGGCGAGGGTGAGTGAGTGAGTGAGTGAGTGAGTGAGTGAGTGAGTGAGTAAGCGTGTGAGTGAGCGTGTGTGCGTGAGGGAGGGAGGGCGCAAGCGAGCGCGCGTGCGTGCGTGCGTGAGGGAGGGAGGGCGCAAGCGAGCGCGCGTGCGTGTGTGCGTGAGGGAGGGAGGGCGCAAGCGAGCGCGCGTGCGTGCGTGCGTGAGGGAGGGAGGGCGCAAGCGAGCGCGCGTGCGTGCGTGCGTGCGTGCGTGGGGAGACAGGCTGAGAGAGGAGTGAACGATCGAGTGAGTGAGGGACCGACGAAAGCGTGCAGCACCGTCAGCAGGATGGCTTGTACTGACGGCGCTTGGCATCTGGAAGACAACGCCTATCTATCTAGCGTCCACCCGGAACCTGATTATTCTCAGTGGGAATATACTCACAGAGGTACCCACTTACAAACGCACACGCAGAGTCTCATACGCACGCCCGCATGTGCTGCCGCACGCCACCCTCGATTCGTTTAGAAGGAAACACAATGTACCATATGTGCGCATGGCAGCCTCTGTCGGAGGGACAGGTGGGCGGCAGTCAGCCGGTCGGAGGTACTGTTAGCTGTGACATACTGCCGAGGTGCGCCGGCGGGGAGGATCATGGATAGAGATGCTACAATCACGGTACGATGCATTTTCTTTTCTATAGACAAAGCGGTATAGCTAATAAATGTAAGCAGTGCATATATTTATGCTATAGTGAAAAGATACCATCACTATAGTGTGCAGCTCGGTCCAGCCTGTGGTTGAGCTAATGTGGGGTTTTTCAATCCCCATCACACGCCTCGTTGTTATAGAGATAGCTAGTCCATGTACTTTCAACAGTTTAGTTTCTAATAAGCAAATGGTATATAATAATGTAATTTAGAGATATATTTTGGCTATATGTATGATACTGCCAGGTATAAGTGAATGCCTCAACGCCTTGACGCCTTTCACGCGATTACTGGACGAAAATAATGACCGGTTTTCCCGAAACATGTTATCTTTGCCCAGCCGATGTCACACGTGTAAAATGGTCGTGTATTAGGTTTAGTACGATTTAATGGACTTAACATCACACCCTAATGAGCAAGGGACAAAGGCTGACATCGTTATCACAGTACGAAATCCTCTTTGATCTACCAGAAAATAACTGCCTTTACTGTTCGCTACTATACTATCCTGATACTATATATATGTAGTGTAGTGCCGGACACATATCCGCTTTTGTGGGCCCTGCCTACGTTTACGTTTACGTTCCGTAAATTATCATATAAATTATATGCCGCGTATGAGGACCATTATATTTTGATTTTTGAACTTTATATAATAAACCATTTTGATATGCCACCTGCCATCCTGCGAGGTTGCCATCCGGTCAATCTGCAAAATACGGGTTACGTCTCTATTAGGTGTTCGTGTTAACGCGTGCAAGGGTTTACCAGCCGGGACGCCGTTCCAACGTATAGGAAGCGACGTATATTTTAGCTTGGGAGCGTCAACACCAGTATAAGAGCGTAACGAGTCGCTGGCGCTGCCGAAGTAATATCCAATCGTTACACCGACAAAACAAACGAGTAGACGAGATTTCCATACTGTCAAATATATCCCATAACTATCGTCATTATGATCGTTTGGCTGAAAAAAAACAGCCGTCGTTTACAGGAGACAGTAATCTTGGATAAAATTTACCCTGCCGGCGTTGACTCGGATTATTCTTCGTCATTTGATGGACGTCGTGATGAGGTCGTAGTATGGGCTGTATGGTATCTTTGGACGGACAATTAGAACTAACTGTGCCACACATAGTAGGTACGGCATATAGGCCTATACGTAATAGCTACGGCATACGTCATATGTACGTCACACGTCATAGCTACGACACACGTTATATATATCTACGACAGATGTCATAGTTATGTCACACGTCATAGCTACGGAACACGTCATATCTACGTCACACACATCATAGCTGCGACACACGTCATATCAACGACACACGTCATATCTACGACACACGTCATATCTACGACACACGTCATAGCTACGACACACGCCATATCTACGACACACGTCATAGTTAAGGCACACGTCATACCAACGTCACACGTCATAGTTAAGGCACACGTCATACCAACGACACACGTCATAGATACGGCACACGTCATAGTTAAGACATACGTCATAGATACGGCACACGTCATAGTTAAGACATACGTCATAGATACGGCACACGTCATAGTTAAGACGTACGTCATAGATACGGCACACGTCACAGCGGTGACACACGTAAGCGCCGGCTTAACTTAGTCAGCTCAGTGGAGTTATAGACTCCGTACACGGGGTCGTTTACCTGCCAGCCGCGAAGTCAGCAACTGGCGTGCGTGCGTGCCGCACACAAGCCCGCAATTTGTCGGCGTCGTTAGCCGGCCGACGAGCACGGCAGAGGGGCAGGTCCAATGACACTGTCGCAGATAAAGACCGCATTGTTCTTCGCGCCTTGCCGCCGCTATGCAGTTTTTGCAGATGAGCGCTAACAAACAACGGTGGTTCGCGCGACGTGCGAGGCGACAATGCGAGCGCTGTTGTCCAATCGGCGCCTCTCCGCGCGCCGCGAGAGCGAGAGTGGTCGCTCGTCTAAGCAATCGCCGAGCGTGCCGACGGACGGTTGCGTTACCTCACGCGGCGGCAGGGCCGACACACACGCACACACACACGCACGCACCACTGTATTGCCTCACGTGGCGGCAGTGCCGTCGGACACGTGGATTACAATCCGCAGCGGCGGTGACCATAGTCGACCGTAGCTACATTTGTGCCGACGGACACACGTGTGCAAGTGTTTTATACCCTTTGCGGCGGCAGTGGCTACAGACAAAAGTGTTACTTAACGCTACAGTTATGACTGACACAGCGGCAATGGCTATACGTGGTTTGATCTCATACGGCAGTCGTGTGCGGTTACGCTAACGTCTATACACTACGTCACGGCGAACGCTATATCGCTCGCTTGTTATATTCATCGTCGCCTGTCGCGGTGACACACGAGTTAACCTGGCGTCGGCATTGTTATTCGAGTGACGATCTAATCACGGTGTTTCTCCAACGCCACGCATCCTACCGTCGCCCTGCCCCCTAGCGGAAGACACGCGAGTAGATGTGGATGGATACGACATTTATGTTGCTTCAACAAGACAGTGCGTCGGCTGGTCGGTATTGCGCTGACCCTGCATGTACGTCGGTGTAGGTACGTAACACAATGGCAACGCGAGGAGGAAGAACGAAGAATATAGAACCAGATAGCGAACTGTCGTATAAGACTGTTCATCCTCGTCCGCGGTCAACGAAAAGCACGATGATAATGCAAAACGTTTATGAAATTCTAAGACGAGAGTATATCTTTTCATTTTAGGAAGCGTTCGGCGGTATGAAAAACAAGGTGTTTCAACGATGGCCTCTGCTTGGATTCGGAACTAAGACGGTCGCCAACACGTCGGAGACGTCCGAAGACACACTTGTCAAGGACGCCGACGACGGTCTAGACCAAGGCGTCAAGTACAATCCGCTCTATCAGGATTCCGACCAGGAGAGTCAGTACAGCAACCGCGTGCCAGCTTCCGTGACGGTGGTCAGCGAGGATGCGGATCGAAAGAAGTCGAAAAACGGCCGCTTCGCTCACCCGCTGTTTTCGGGCATCGAGAAAAACTACAAGCCGCGGTTTCGCGCGCTGAACGGAAACGTGCTGCTCGCGCCCGACGAAGGAAAGCACGCCAGTAGAGGCGTGCGCGAGGCGTGGAGCGTCGCCACGCCGTCGTCGGCTAGCAGCGGCAGGACGTTGCCAACGACGAGCGGCGGAGACAGCAAGCAGCGCGCGTCGCGCTCGTGGCTTCATCAGAAACACGATCGCGAGGAGGGAAGCCACGCGAAGCAGACGCCCCGTAGCGGAAAGCCACGCGACGGAGCGCACGCGGGCGCAGAGGCAAGGCGACACGGTACCGGCGGCAGCACCGCCGACAAGTCGGATAGGTCATCCGGCACGACGACGCACGGCGTCCGGCAGCTGTCTCCGTCCCGCCGACTGCAGCGTCCTTCGTACGAATCCGGATCGACGTCCGGCGTCCGACCGCAGCAGCTGCGATATCCGGACGCCGGCGTGACGTCATCTTCTCGGCCGCTGATCGCCGACGGCGGTGTTGGACACGGTCTTCGCGCGAGCGCGCGATCGCACGCGCCGAACAGTAACAGGACCGCTGCCGATCAGGGTAGCGTGGACCGTAAGCAGCAGGGCATCCCCTCGGCATCAACGACGTCGCAGACAGGCACGCGTCGGTCGGAGGCGTCCTCTGGCGGTCGTACTGCGCGACAGCCGCTGCAGAAGAGTGGCAGCACCGACAACGGCACTGTGAGCGAGTCGTCGGGGGATACACGTACGACGACGTCCGGTTCGGGAGCGCCGAGACTGGACGATGCTCGCGGGCCGTTAGCTCGGCCGCTGCTAGAGGAGACAGACGAAGCTGACGCGCAGGGGCAGGCACGCCCCCTGGCATCGTCTTCTGATGAGCAGTTGATATACGCCGAACCATACGAGGCGTTAGAAGGTCGGTAGCCGAAGCATCGGCGCGTATTATAATCACTCGCGAGATGAAAGAAAAATTAAAGAGACTCAGTAACATACCATCATGTAGAAATTTAAATTATCGCTGATTTTGTATGGCACAAACGGAATGCTGTTTAATTTGAATGTAATTTATAATATATCGTCAAGTATTTTATATTAGAACAGATTGATATCACCACTATAATAATGTGTTATTATAATGTAAATAAAGTGGTCACATTATTATAGTGGTGGTATAAATTTGTACTAATATAAGATGTTTTAATATAATAATAATATTTTTTACGATATATTATAAATTACACTTATTTCAAAATATGCTTATTAATATATATATATATATATATATATATATATATATATTGATATTGATATATACATATATATATTGATATATACATATATATACCTTAAAAAATTGCCGAAGCGAAAACATTAAATCGTCATCAACACGTCACAGACACGTCATGTCAGCGGTATCATAATATTTCAATAATCAAGTACTGGAAATAAATGGAGCGGTTTATCAAGAAGAATATTGCCGCATTACTTGCAGACGTACGTCAGGCGATAGCGACGGACGTGTTGCCACGGGAGCAGCCTGACGGAGCTGAACCGACCACTGTCGCAACTGACGGCAAACCTTCGCTCGCGGGCGACACCGAGAAGGCGGACGCGGCGGCGTCTCCGCACCACCATCACCACCACCACCACTACCACGTATACCGGCTGCACGAGTCCGAGACGGCGACGACGCCGACGGGCGTGCCGACGCCGTGTCCCGTGCACGGTCCGTCGCCGCACCCGCTCGCCGACACCGAGAGCGCCGTTGCCGCTAGTCCCGAGCCGGCGTACCTGTGCCCCGTGCACGGCGCCGACACTGCAGACGCCGCCGCGGGGGCGGGGGCGAGCTGCAGTCGTCCGCCTCCTAGTCGGCAGGCGGCGGCGGCGGATTTCGGTAAGCCGCGACGCAAGGCCGACCTGTCGGACATCGAGGAAGTTCCCGAGCCGACCGTCGACTACTCCGACTCGAACGACGACAGCCAGCCGAGCTCGTTCGGACGTCGGCGCGCCCGAGAGCCGAGTCCCGACTACTCGAGCGCCGAGCGACTCTACAAGCAGCTGAAGGCGAAGCTGTCGTTCGCGCGCCGGCAGCTGAAGTCGGGCGCAAGTCGCTCCGCGCCCGAGCTCGACGCGGCGCCGCCAACGCCCTCTGTCGACTACTCGTCGTACGACTCGCAGACGTCCGGCGACGAGTCGTCGTGGACTTCGTCGCCGGAGGACGACGTCGGCGCGGTCGTCGTCGGCCGTCGTCCGGCCGTGAATCCGGCGTGTGCCATACACGGCCAGGAGCAGTACTACCAGGGCGTGCACTTCGCCCAGCGCAACCGCGACAGCTTCTACCGCGCCAACGCTCTGCAGTACGCGGGGAGTCGCGCCACGCCGCGCAGCTCGCTCTACTCGAAGTTCTACACGCCCAGCTTCAGTCCGATCATCGAGGAGGAGGAGAAGACGCTGCGGCACACTACGCCGCCCGCACAGAAGAAGCCGACGCCGCAGGACGCGCGCAGCTTCAACATCAACGCGTACGTGTACACGATCAACAGCAACGTGTATAGCGTCGGTCAGACGGGCAAGGATGAGCTTCACAGCCGCGCATCGATAAGCAAGCATTCGGTAAGTTTAGAGCCGCAAGCGCCTGCGTGCTGTGTATACGCTTCAATTTATATAGGGGCATTTACGGGAACACACTCTCTGCAAGGGTCTGCATGTGTATACGCTATTACCAATACCGGTACAGGAGTCTGCATGTATATATGCTTCCTTTTATATAGGGGCATTTACGGGAACACGCTGTCTGCAAGGGTCTGCATGTATGTAGAGGCATTTACCAGTACACACTGGTCGCAAGGGTACACACTGGTACACACGGGTGCCTATGTATGCACGTTCTAGTGCTATAGGGCCCTTATTGATACACGTTGTGTGTACCGGTATATATCCCTGTGTTAAAGGCGCCGCATACTTAATCGCACTGGTCGGAAAACTGCTGGGTACTTAACCCTTGACCTAACTCGATCCAATTTCCAATAATCAGACCTGTTACAACAGACATTGCTGCTAGATTTGATCCTCAGCGTTGTACTAAGTAGACATAGCCAATCAGGTATCCAACCAGTAGATGGCGCAGCATACCAGATCGTAATAGACACCCATTATAGATCTCTAGAAATGATATCTAGATTACATAAGTGTCAACGGGGAGGCCCCACCGGATATACAAGCACCCGTGGCTATAGATATAAGCGTCTTCACCTGGGCGAATATCCTGACCGTTAGTTGGCTAAATAGGAGGTTTATAGCGATGAAGATCGCAGGTGTTCAACGATTTTAGAGGGGGTTATCGCTAATCGCATATGACGATCACGGCCGGGTGAAGAGGCTCTACCGATTATACAACGTCACGTGGGAACACATAGGCAGGGCTCTGTTTAGTGTGAGAGCTTTCGCTAAACATTGCAGCTCACCTCTCACGAAATTCTCTGAGCTCAGGGTAAATATGGTGGGTATATACACTCGGCATCAAACAGCTGCTTTGTTCTGTTACCTATCGAAAGCGTAATGCCAGTCAGCACTCTGGCATGTCACACAGAGGGGTCAACGTGTTCACGTAATGGTGACTAACCTTGCCGTATTTATCACGGTGTTTTGTCTTACTATTAAACGATCAGGTTAACGCAGTTTAATATTCACTAATTGATTAACGTGTTAGCAGATAGTATGAACAGTTAGAATGCAACACAGTTAGAAGCAGGATTCTAAATTACATAAGCTCGAGCACAACACTCGGCAACGTGATTGCGAAAAAGAGCTGAAATTTTCTAATTTTTGTTTAAAAATAGTTCATCGCAATTATACGCTTTCCTACCACAGGAAACTACACTATAACAAGTAATTCCTAACCCGTAAATTAAAAACGCGCACTTCCTAAAGATGGCAACATGCAAGAATAGCCCATTGTATGCAAGCATGTGCACTCGCCATGTAAAGAATAAGCGCACTCTCTTTATAAGGTTCTCTACTTGGTAGTTATAACACGGGGCGCTAGCCGTGGAATAGGGGGGCCTGTATATTATGAAGGTACGGCATTTGGAGGCGGCATCGAACCGGCCCCGGC